AGCTCCGAGCTAGAATTGCAAATGGAAAAAAGCACCAGTCTAGACGCAGATCTTTCAGAACATAAAGCTTTTTCCGAAAGATCTTGTAGAAGCTATTTTATGTTTAGCTAGAAGCCATCTTGTATATCAGAAACCATTTCAGCTTTTCTCTCAAGCACGTAGACCAGAGTGAACTTTCTGTCACCCCGTGAGAAGAGGCCTACAGAATGGGCTATTGGTATATGTTAATTGGGCTGGTTGGGACAGGAGATGTACTCCCTCGTATCTGTCCGCCTTCTTGTTGATAAGGCTTTGTTTTTCCAAATTTAATTGAGGATTTCTGTAATTGGATGCCCTGACGTCAGACTGTGGCTAAGGGTATAAAGATACTAGGATTGGGCCCGACTTTGCTGGGACCACGTTTGGCTCACTTTGCTTTACTGATCAATAAAGCAATCAGTTGTTAGCCACCTAAACAGAGAGGAGCGTGTTTTTGCTTCGAAAATCCCTTATCCCTCTTAAAATGAGGGATAAGGGATCTTTTGGAAAAGGCTTTTTTTCCCGAAAGATCCGCGTCTAGACTGGTACTTTATTCTGGCAACACTCCAAGCCGGAAAAAAGCGGCAGCCATTTTTATGCTAATGAAGCAGGGGGGATTTAAATCCCCGCTTCATTTGCAATTGTGATACGTCTAATTTGCATCCCTTTTACAGAAAAGGGATGCAGTCTAGACACAGCCTAGGAATTTTGCTTTGACTGAAGGCTAGCGTTACCACCTTTGATATGCAAAGAAACCAATGCCCACTCACAAAGCACCTCTGATATCCCGCCTCCCTCCCCAACAGCCATTTACAGTAGATAAAGAGATAACTCATAGATAAAATTAATACTATTGTTTCCCTAAAGTGTGGAAGTGGGAACATAGGAACATTTTTAGCTGGACACAGAAACTTCACATTATATATCCCAATTTATTGTGATAAAAATGCAGATTTTTAGCTTTATGTTAAAAAAGGCAAATTATATTAATAACTGGCAAATCCATTTTTAAAAATGGCCCAGCCAATCAAATACTCACCATGTGGTAATCCTACTAAAAGCTGGTCCTGCAATTTTTTGGTGTCAATTTGTTAGCTTGGTTATCTCACACATCTGGGCATTCGTCATCTTTTGATTTCTCCAATGCATCCCAGAAAATCAACAGCTGTTGAGGTTTCACATAATGAGATGTCACAATTTTCTTGAAGTGACAAATAGAGAATCTAACCCTATCTGCGAAGAAAGTCTGCTCTGAATGAAGTTCCTCTGGGTTGATTTTTAATTTAGTGAGACACAGTCCTATGAAAACATCCTCCAGTTTAATAAAAGAGACACTTTCTGAAATATTATAAATCTGACTAACAACATCAGTGGAGAGAACATAACCAGTCCCTGAGCAAAACGGAGGATATGTGCTTGCTGGATATTCAGCTTCGCTCACATACCATTTGCTGCATCTGTTTCGTATTGGGCGCTCATTCATCTTTAAAAAGCCTGTGAAGAATCTGGTGCTTCTGTTTTTTCTTAAAAGAAGTTCACTCAGGTAAAAGATATTGACAAACATATCTGTGTCCGTTTTCATCACAAACCTGGATTGAGAACAAAATATGTGAACCCATTCAATTCCCATCATTGTCTTTAAAGTCAGATTGTAGTATGAATCCATAAAATCCTTCTGTATAATGTCTCTGTATTTCTGACTTTCAAAAATAATTTCAATTAGATCACTTTCTTTTGTGGTTATTCCCAGAAGGAAATATGTCACAATGCGGTTTCCAGCAACTAGTCTGTGTTTCCCCCACGTTTGACGAATAGTCATCCTAGCTTTTAGCTGGCCAGGTCCTGAGGTCACAAGGAGTACAAGGAAAGGAGGAGTCCTACGAGTAAAAATTTTCCAGGACATGTTGCAGAAGTCAGTTCCGTGACCTTGTCCCTCGTTTGACAGAATATAGAGATGTCAATCAAATTCAGCTTGAAAAAAACCAAACTAACCAAGGCGAATACCATAATTAAAAAATAAAATTTGAATCTCTTGAAAGCCATCTGGAAGAAACAAAAGCAAATGATATATTGGGAAATAATCTTGCTTCTTTGAATATCAAACTCGGTGCTACAGCTTGGGCTTTAGAAGCGTTTAGCCTCTCCCACCCCAAGACCCACACCGGAAGACCTACTGATGTCAATGGAATCCATGTAGATACCCCAGGTCTCACCATAGGCTCTTTGCCTCCGACATAAAATAGGAATATAACAATCAGACCTACACTGCCAGGAACTCCCCCACCAGCTAGTGCTCCTGAAATGCATCCCTAAAAACATCTCTACAACATGGATTGTGGGAAGCAGGGAGATGATTCCTATAGATGTGTTGGGAAAGGATAATAGTAATAGTTTTATACCTTATTTCTCCCTTCATTTTTTGTCAGGTGGCCATGCTCTGAGTATGCTGTATAAATCAGTGGGCACCAACCAATAGATCGGAAACTACTAGTAGATCTTGGAGCCTCTGACAGGTGACCCTGACTGGTTTGGCCCCCCCACTTCTGTACCCCATCTCCACACAGAGAGAAGGGACTCATGGTGTGAACAGCTGGGGCTCCCCCACTTCCCTCAGAGCATGTTGGGCTGTTCCAGATCAGCAACAGTGAGAGGAGGCAACACTGGCACTGAGCACCTGCACGTGCAGGAGGTGGGTTGAGGCTCAGGCCCCTTCGGGGCTTTGCACTACAGTTCTCTTTAAGCTGTGCAGTCTCAGCTGCTCAATGGATCCCAGGCAGAGAGATCAGTTGATTGGCAGGGACGGGCCTCCGTAAACAACAGCTAAACCAGGGGTGGCCAACCCATTAAACGAAGAGCGCTAAAACAGCAGTGGAAAAAAATCAAACAGCTGCACCAGAATATTTTTTTTGAGCAATATTTGTTGAGCAAAAAAAAAAAGGAAAAGCTTCCCACCAGCCCCTCAGAGTTGTTGAGCAAAAAAAAAGGACGCAGACCCTTTAAAAGACAAGGCCACATCAGGCGCCTTTTGGCCACTGCCATCTTGGTGACACCATTTTGAATCATTGCACTGGGCGGCTCCCCTACCCTGGTGAGCACAGAGAGCTGGAGGCCAGGGACCATTTCTAGAGGTGCAGGAGCAGCTTCATGAGCCACACATTAATGCCAGACGGAGGTAAAGACGCTGACTGGACCTACCCCACTTACAATACCACTCTCCCCAGCAGACACAAACCTAGGGTCCTCCCCTTTCTGGGCCTCAGCTGTCCCCAGAAATAAATATGAACCCACAGCACTGTCCTCAGCCATTCCAGGCTTCCCCTCCCAAAAACCAAGCTGCCAGTTTCAACACGCAGAGTTTGCTCCCACTGAGCACCCTCACACAAATTACTGTTAGCATGTTCAAGTTCAGTTTTACAAACTTCACCAGCCAACAACTCATCACTCTCCAGAACTTTATCTTTTCCTTCAGCTAAAATTTCACTCTGGCCACCCACTCCAGAGACACACTTCCCTGATCACTGGGCTCTCCCTGCCCTGTTTCTGATTCCAGCCTCACCTCTGAGATTTCAGGTAGACATGCAGAAACTTTACTTACAGACACACAGCTCCCCTGCATAGATACATAGCTATCTCCCCCAGGAAAACATTGAGAACAACTTTTCCATTGGTCCTAGACAGACTAGCCACAAACGACTGCTCAGAATCACACTCATCCCTTTCACAAACCACCCTGTTAACTACAGGCAACACAGAAGAGTAGCATCCATACATGCTTTGGGGCTGGGTTGAAATATCAGCATTATTACATTATGCCTTGCCATAATCAAACCCCATATTCACATGGTGATACACTGACCTTATGGGAGGATATAGTCTCTGGTGTTCTTCCACTCTCTGGGTCTGGAGTTCCTTGGGATGTTGAACAATGATTGGAACATTCATGAAAGCAGGGTGCTTAGTTGAATTTAGAGTGTTCGGCTTAGCTTTCAATATTTCAAATGTTACCTCTGCTTTAGCTATCCTTGCCTGTGCTTTCGTTTCTGCTTCCTTCATTAGTCATAAGAACTCCACCTCTTCCTTAGTTAGAGATCTGCTTGCAGGAACACGCTCCTGTCCTATCTCCTTCGTATATGAATCTTCTCTGGAGCTGGATATTTTGCCTTGATATGAGGCTCTTTCTACCTCAGGTTGTTGCTTAGGAAGGGTTGGTTGCTCTAGGGCTACTTTGTCTGACCACAATAACATGTACTGGGCTCCTTCCCTGCCCTATTCTAGCCTAACTATCCAGGTGTCCCGAAACAATAGTCCAACTACAAGCATAATTGGAATCGCTAGATGATAAGAGCCACTAATTAATATACTCATAGAAGCTTTCCCCATCGGCTAAAACTTAGTTGCAAAAGAGAGGAAAAACCATTTTTAACAGCACAGACATCAGATCCAAATTCCCAAACCAGAAAACAATAAAACCTGATGGATTTATCTAGACTTTACCTTACTTACACACTGTGAAGAGTCTTTTTCTTGCAGAGAGACATGTCTTCTGTCTCCCTCAGTATTTAGAGAGCAAAACTAGCTCAGAGGCAAAGGAAAGAAAATTTAAAAAGCCTTTTCTCGAAGTTTGAAATCCCTACGGATATGTCTACGTTAGTTCGAACTAATTTTCATAGGCGCTACACTAGCGCTCCGTTAGTTCGAATTTAATTTGAACTAACGGAGCGCTTAGTTCGAATTAGGTAATCCTCATTCCACGAGGATTAAGCCTAGTTCGAATTTACTAGTTCGAATTAAGGGCTGTGTAGCCCTTTTTAATGTATCTTGGACTTGTAGCAAGGATGGCCTGTACATCACTACTCGGTGAGCACTGATTAAGTTTTATGGAATTTCTGAAATTCTACTTCATTTCTGAAGTAGGACAGATCAATACTGTCCTGATAACGTGACATTATATAATTCTTCATGCTGTTCCCTAATCAGAAGGTCAGTATTGCACATATGCAGTCAAAACCAGCATTTCCATCTGGAGATCATGCTGTGTCCACTAGCAAGATGCTGCATAGAAGTTAGAGCTGGTGGGCTGCTCTAGGTAGATGGTAGCTATTTCTGTTCATTTTCTGCAACATTGTGTCCATATTTAGACAGACCAGGGCTAGTTCCATTCTGCTATACTCAGTGAATTCTACCAGACTTGACAGTATGCTGATGAGTCCTTTCTCCTTTGTTTGTTTTTTTCCTCAATATGTAACTTTGGGTAAGAAATGTTTCAGTTTTTCTCTTTGAAGGGGGAGATGGGTAAGCATTAGACCTGGTCTTTGCTACACAGTTAGGTTGGCAACTTATGTTGAATTAACTAGGCTAGTGTAAACAATATAGCCTTATCCTTCTGATTTAAGTGCTGTAGTACACTGAGGGTGTGTCTAGACTACAGGGTTTTTTAGAAAAAACTTCCCCTGCGTCTAGACTGCTGCTGCGTTCTTTCGAAAGTAAATCGAAAGAAGGCAGCATTTTTTTCGACCGCGGAAAACCTCGTTTTACGAGGAAGAATGCCTTTTTTTGGAAGTGCGTTTTCAAAAAAAAGCGCTATGTAATGAAAACTGTGCTTTTTCGAAAGAGAGCATCCAGACTGACTGGGTGCTTTCTTTCTAAAAAGTGGCTTGCTTTTTCAAAAGTACTGCTTGCAGTCTAGACGCTCTTTTCGAAAGAGGCTTTTTCGAAAGTATATTTTGAAAAAGCCTCTTTCGAAAGAGGCTTGCAGTCTAGACGTAGCCTCTGTTTCATTCAATGTTTCTTTCCTACACTCAGACTCTGTGCTTGCGAGTGGGGAAGCATTGCCTCTCAGAGGCGCCCAGGGGTGTGTGAATTTCCCAGGTTACTGGGTGGGGGCTTGATCTGGTTCTGTGTGAGATGGACCCCTAGATATTGAACCTGGCCCTGGTAGAAGGGTTACACAAGTTAAAAAAGGATCGGACCCATACAAACAGTGGTTCTCAAAAAGGCTTAGTGGTTAAAGAGGAATGAAAGCAAGATTAGAGAGATTCAATCTGTGGAACTTCATACTGCAAGCAGTCCTAAGATTGCAATGGTGCTGTTGATAGCAGGTTGTGCTATTCAGTATTAGCAGTAGCAGAATCTGGCCCTAAATAAGTACCATATATACTCGGACATAAGTCTGTTCATGTATAAGCCAACCCTCCAAACTTATAGAGAGAAAATGGTAAAAAGTCACTAACCTGTTTATAAGCCAACTCCAGAGTACTGCAGACTACAAGGGTCATCTAGTTTAACCTCCTGATAGTGGAACGCAGTAGAAAATGGAGAATTTCCAGTAAAAACAGGATAGATATACTTTCCTGACATGATATAGCAGAGGAAGTTCTAAATAAACAATAGAAAAGAGAACATTTGCTATAAATCTCTAGGGGTATGTCTACACTACAAAGTTAATTCGAACTAACAGACGTTAGTTCCAATTAACTTTGATAGGCGCTACACATACAAACCGCTAGTTGGAACTTAATTTGAACTAGCGGAGCGCTTAATTCGAACTAGGTAAACCTCATTCTACGAGGACTAACGCCTAGTTCGAATTAAGTAGTTCGAATTAAGGGTTGTGTAGCCACTTAATTCGAATTAGTGGGAGGCTAGACCTCCCCAGCTTTCCCTGGTGGCCACTCTGGGCACCACCAGGGAAACTCTTCTGCCCCCCTCCCGGCCCCGGAGCCCTTAAAGGGGCACGATCTGGCTACTGTGCCCGTGCCAGGTACAAGCCTGTGAGCACCCAGCCAGCAGACCCTGCACCTAGCACTGCTTGAGCCAGCCACCTGCTGCCACCCAGCCCTCTGCCTCTTCCAAGGACGCCCCCTGCCCCAGCACCCACTAGCACCCTTCCCTAGTACCATGTCC